CAGAGGTGGCAGGGGTAGAACCTTTTTTTTTATCTGGTTCATCCTTCCCTCGATAAACCGCCAACCCCGTTAAACCGCCAAAATTCTGCTGCACAAACGTTGGCGGTTTAACGGGGGTTGACTGTACTAGTTCTCACGTTTTCAACCTCAGATGGTAGCAGGTTCCTTGCTGCTGCATGGCAGAATTTTTTTTTACCACATTTCAGTTTGACTAAAGGTCACTCAATTGCGAAATGGGCTGAGAAGCAAGAAATCAAAGAAATTCTGGGGAAGGAAAGCCCATTGCAATTGAAAACCTTCTTTTGGATGCAACAATTCTTCAATGTTAAGCCTTTAAGATAAGAATGTTTTAACAATCCCATTCAGTGATACATTCATTACTTTTTCAACCAGAATTTTCTGATATAAAAAAAAAATTGGATTTACATTCTTGGGTCTGCACTATTTAGTCCAGGTATCTTCAACTTGTATTTATGTGTTCTTGAGTGAAAGGTGCTGCAAAAAGATCCAAACTCTGCCACAGAGAGGTTAGGTGGACGTTTTTTAGTACCATGGTTTCAGCTGCCTGTGGTGCTCTTACATTCCATGGTTGTGCTCCCACCAGTTGCCAAATTCCCTGCCTTTCCAACCCCCAGCCCAGTCAGTAGCAGGCCTCCCCAATCTCCTGCCCACCAAGAGGGGGTTGGGTCACCAAATTGTCCCACCACGCAGAGGCCACTGCTGGTTGATGGCCACAAAAATCTTGGTTCTTCACCCTTGGATGGCAGAAGGTTCCTGGCTGTCCTGCAGCAAAGTCAAGATTCTTTTTGGTGGGCAGTACATTTCAGTTTGACCCAAGCTAATTAAAATGCGTCCAGGTTGAGAAGGCCTTACTTGGAAAAGCCTCTGTTTTAAACCCTAAGCCTCTGGTTCAAAACATTATTGCTTGTAATTAGTAGCAATAATACTTTAAACCAGAGTCTTTGGAACTTATTTTGGCGGTGAGCAAAACCCTCAGCTATGAGCATAACCCTGTTTTAAACAATGTATTAATGTTTTAAACCTGCATAACCCTCTGAAGAAAGTTATATGCTCAGAGCCAAAATAGTTTTCAAAGACTTTTTGCTGAGGGCATAAACCTATTCAGATACAATACTTTAAATCTGCAATTCACATTTAAAATAAATTGAGTTGAAAAGACATTTTCAAAATGAGTTTTCATCTCAAAATGTTTCCAAAAAGTTTGGATTATTGGTTCAATACATTGCATGTAGGAGGGTTATGCTCATGAAGGCATAAAAAATTGGTCTGATAGAAATACAATATAAAAAAATTCACTTTTGAGAATTTTAGAAAAATTTAAACAATTTCCCACAGAAGTCTCGTTTCATACGCTTTTTGTTATATTGTGTTTTTAAAATGATCTTGAAACCTGTCGCAATGACGTTGAATATGCTGGAATGTCCAGTGACTCATCGACAATTACCCTGATTTGAAAAAAAGTTATTTTCTTCTGATAAAAATTTTGAAACAAAGTGATTATAAAATTTATGCTGACATTTGATTTTCAGGAAGCGTTGATGGCTCATTACATCGGAACAATTCACAAGTTATCTTGATTGATTTGTCAAGTTTACGCAAGCCCTTCAGAATACGAACAAAATAATGGATAGTACAGTATTATTGATTAATCTTTCTTGTAGTAGGTTATGACGATCACCTCTCGATGTACGACTTTCGCAAATTTTTTTCGAACTCAATTTAACAATTCCAAAGAGGTCATGATTAAAAATAATTTTAATGACAGGAATAGCCGATAGCAGTCCATTGCTCGTTTGAACTTACCTTTCTTCAATATGCTGGCCTGGTTTCAATTGCTGTGTTCATTCTTCAACGAAATTTATTGCTATACAACTTACGTCATGCAATGATTCGTTTCTTCTGGAATTCCGACTTATGTCGTCAACTTGAACATCCACGTCAGGGAAAAATTTAGTGTAACCGAAGATTGTCTGATCATGACGAGGAACCAGTTACCAGCAGTCACTTTCGTCACGAACGAGCCGCCAACGAAGTATATGGAGCATTATGTAATAAATGTGTTTCTCAGCCGCTGTTTCATTGAATATATTTGGAATTGCATATGATATCCACTTATTAATTCATATACCTTTTTACTGCCATGAACAGTTCATGAGGCATTATCCAAAGATGAAAATTTCCGATTTTAACCCTCCAGGTCACACCTGAACTTTGCATTCGTCAAAGACAATTCTCGATATACGTACACCATGACCTTACCCAAGAAAACGATTAGGCCTTCCTGGTACCCATGATTTATCTGATGGTTTATGCATTATGCATTCACAGAAAAAAATTTGGCACGATGCATTCCATTTTTTTTTTCTTGCATTCAAAAAATTCGGAACGCATCATTCCAAATTTTGTTGGTCTTCTTCACAAGAATGATTCATCTTTGTGTGAAGAAGAGAAACAATTTTTGGAATGCAACAGTACTTTTACCATTTCAAAAAATTAACATGAAAAATGATTCAAAATTAAGAATTGAAGCACTTGCTTCATTAAAATTGGGAATCAGGGATGAACCCTGTGCAAAGGGGAGACAACTCCAGCGAAAAACATGGACAGCATCTAACACTGCTGAGACTAGTCTATCCAAATTGCCTTAAGACCTCAGGGCCAAAAATGGAAAAAACAGAAGCCTCATAAAATCTCAAGGTAATAAGAAACATATCACAAGCAGAAACCAGCCTATGGCTGATTTTTTGAAGAGAAAATAAAAAAAAATTGGAAATGAAAAGTGCTTTTGAAAGAATGAAAAATTTACTTAGTTTTTTATTCAGGGCAAACAAAATCATCATTGAAAAATTTTCAAAATTACCAAAAATTTAGAAAACATTGTTTTAAAAAGAAAGAAATACATTCAATTTTTTGTTTGGAATGAAACATTTTTAACAGCTTGTGACATGGATGGAAAATGCCTGCCAAAGCTGGAAAGCTTTCACTAATTGTCTTGCAGTGAATCTAAAAACTTAAAAAAAATCACAGAACCTTAAATTAGATGAGCTAGCTGGTAGATTTTTTTAAAAAGTGGTACCTAGTTCAGAAATAATGTACCCAAGGTCAATCAAAAATGGGACAACCCTTGTGTGTTTGTTAACAGAAAAGAAAATACCATACAGCACAGAACGTACAAATTCACAACTGATCTGAATGCACACCCTGTTTACCCTCTCCCCCAATAACATAAATAAAATGTCAGTATTAATATTATAGCAAATAGGAAATAATGAACACAAATGAAAGGACAGGGTGTTCTGTCTGCTCCCAGATGAGTGCAAGTTTAGTGAACAATTTTGAGAGAATCTTTGAGGAGAAATTGTTTTCAGCTAACAGTTTATGTTGGCCCTCTAAGATTTTGGAAAGAGAGAATCAATTATGGACCATTTGTTAATGATGCAAAAATACTGCATNATTTTCCCTAATAGGCTTCAATGCAAACGTATCCAATTGGTTCTCCTGTTCATAAAAAATCAGGAAGTCCCCCTCCACCCCAAAAAAAGGAAATACATTTTCAACTTTGAGGTAGAGAAAAAAAAAAATGGGCAGGAGGAAACCGTATAGAATCTAATCCTTCGGTATTAAATGGAGCTCAAGAAGCAAAGAGCAAGAATAAGTCTTGTTATAATATGCACAGATTATGGATTAAAAAAAAAACTGAAAAAACAGGCACAGAATCAGCCCATTATTTTTTATTATGAACTAGAGTAAAATTCTAATTAAATGCATTCTACATTTTTGTGAATATAAATGGCTCTATTTGTTCAGGAGGTATTAAAAAAAAGTTCTGGACAATGTCAGCAAATTGTCCCTATCTTTAGCCATCGTGCAGATGTTGGGTCAGATTTATCAAGTTTTAAGTGCGCCTGAGTCGAATCATCTGTATATGTCGGGGTATCACTGTAGTTGAAATTCGAGGCTTTACTTTGGTGGACGCTTATTATTACATCTTCTCACTCGTTGGACGACCAAGATGAGACATTCGGGAAAACAGTCTTTGTTCTGATGTAATGAACCCGTGCTGCGCATTCCGAAGGGGGCCTGAGTTTGTCATCAGATTAGATTGGCAAACGTTCCGGGTCGTTCCAAGGGATGCAAGTACCCTAAACAAGGTTATTAGAATTGCAGATCGGCTACGCAGCAACATTCCTGGCCGAGCGTGGTAATGTGGTTTGGCAGGCCGTCTATCCATGTATATATATATATATATTTATATTATACGTGATCTCACTGATGCTGGAAGGGTTTTGTTGTGGTATAGGATATGTGCTACGCGAGGACATCGTAAGCACATATATACGAGCTCGCTTTCAAGACAATGAAAAGAAGGTCCGAGAGCGAGGGAAGAAGCGCGAGATGGAAATGAGCTGGCTCTCTTTTTTATTCTTTTGCTTCTCACTTTTCTTCGTCTCTCTCTTCTTTTTTTTGTGCCTTTGCTGTTCTGTTGGAGGCCGGAAACCCAGATTGACTTCCGTTTTTCCGAGGGACACTATGGATATATCCATGGGGACGCGGGTGGCGAGCATGTATGGTGAAACCGATGAGCTGCTGCGCTTCTCTGTCGTTTGCCAAAAAGCCTGATGGAATTTCATGTGTATAGGTTCTTTTCTCGCGAGAAGTTACCTTGAGAATATGGTAGCATGGCTTTTTTTTTTACGTCGTTTAGATTTAAACTTGTGATTCGTTTTTGCACTGAATCCAAAAGAGGATGGGATCGAATTTTTTTTTTCGCGGAAGATTATTTTCGCGAGAAATTAAAAGGTGAGGGTAAATACTTTTCATGGCTTATCCGTCATTTTTCAAACCTTTAATTCTTCAGATTAATTCAACATGTATCCAATTAAAAAAAAAAGTTGAACATGTTAAACGACTTGCTGTTATCTTGATTTCTTGTATGCGATTATTTCTGCACTGTATTCATCATGCAATCAAATATGTTTACCCCGAAGATCCTTCTCGAAAAAATTCAAACGAGAGGAGAGAACTTTTTGAATGGCTTCTCCATTTTTAAACCTTCACTTCTGGAAAGAAATACAGCCTGAATCAAATTTTAAAAAGTCTAATCGCGTATATTTCTGAGTTCAAGTAACGCGAAAGTGTTTTCAAAAGAGAATATGCAGTCTGCAATATAGTAAGTCTGTCCACATTTTTGGAATGAAGTACAACCAGGTTATGCATGATGATAAGAAAATTACTTTTGTGGGAAAATTTGTCCTATACAATGGATGACCCAGCATAAAACAAACCAGTTCATGAAACGATGCATCTCTAGAGTTTCTGAAATGAAGGAATGCAGTCCAACATTAATAGCTCTTACCTCCCTGAATATAATAAAATTGTCTATGAAAATGTTTTTGAAGTCCATGTCAGCATTCCATCAGAACAAATACATTAAAAAACTTTTAACTCAGAGACTTTCTCCCTCAAACCACCATAACTCAAATTTTCTGGAGGCCTTTTGGCTATTATTTTGTAGACAAGGGCAAGAGAAAAGCAATAAAAATGTAAATTGATGTGTTTTCAAAGGAAGTGAAAGATCAATACCGGGCTAATAAACCCTTGCCTATAAGTCTGGCATCCTGTCAACTCATTTAAAAAGCAATTCAAGGTATAGAATATTGACAATATTTCCTGCTTTACTTCTATAAAAAATACATGGTTTTATCCCTACCAGGAACTCTTTTGCTGGTCCCAATAGAGAGGTTTGACTGTACAGTACTTCAAAATTGACCTTCACCAACCTCAACTTCGGAACACTGCACATCATCAGACATTCTTTTCATCTCGTCGTGGTTGTTGCCTCGGACTTGTAAGGCTTTCACGGAAACAAATTCAGGTCGCCCCCTTTTTTTCCCCGAGGTTTTCCATTGTGCTCGAACGCGTTTGTTCTATTCGGGATTGTTTTGCAGACCACATGGACGCAGGGTGATGATGATGACCTTGCGTGCTGAGTGCAGACATCGCCAGAGGTCAAAGGTCTTCCTGAGATCGCTGCTGACCCTCCTTCGCTGCTTGCCAAGTCCTGGTTATGCTTCCGGGGGCTATTTTCCGCACAAGCCGGATGAAATTCCTTCCCACTTTAACCATCCCTGCGAAAACGTGCTTGTACGGAAGCGTTACTAGTTAAACTTATTGGTGAGGATAAGAAGAGCCTAGCGGCCATTTGCGGCGCCTACATAGTGATATATTCCAACAACAACTAACAAAATGCTAGGTGACGCTGCTGTACTGGATTGGAGAAACTTGCGTTCAGTGGAATCATAAAAGTTAGGGTATAATTGAACAGGAAATTATGATGGATATGTAACCAAACGCAACGGTCTTATTTTACGAAGGAATATAAGGCGTGTCTGATGACAATAACTCGGAATGTTGTGAATTAGTCAGTGAATTCCTTTGTTCAGAGAATATATGCCAAGGTTGGGGAAACTCAAGTGTGGGACATAAAATATACGATGTGCATGTAATAATTATGTCATACCTATTATATTATGTTGTGTAGATATCCCACTGTTTTCCGCTAACTAATTATTCAGTACAGCAGAATCTCGTTACAAGGAAGCGTTCGGGACTGTAAAAAGTATAAAAACGCTTCGATACGAAAAAAAAACATTCGTTAGAACAAAATTAAAATAACTTCAGTGGCTATTGATGGGCAGGGACCGAAAAAGCGAATTCTTCGTAAGAATTAACTTGTTGAAAAGAGATTTATTGCAACGATATTCTATTGTATTTTGAAAATCTACAATGATGATGGAATTTAATCAATTCTGACCTTTTGTGTATGATTCAAATGCTGAATTATAACTTGTTGAAACGACCGTTCCAATAATAGCAAAGAGTAAATTATGCTGACATTCAAATGCATTTTTCAAATCACTTTTGTCCAAAGAGTTACAAAGGAAATTGATTGAAAAGATTTGAGTGCCCTAGTATTTAAGAGAAGTTTCTTCAAGCTAAAGTGAAGCATTTCTCCATTGGAGATTTACCAAAAACTGTCCCGAAAATCTAAAATTTTGCGCCTCAATTATGGTGTAGGATTTGAAAATACTGTATGTCCATTGAAATTTATTTATTAATTTTGTCTAATTTCGTGGCTTTAATAGAACTGACATACTTCTACGGGATTCCTTACGAAATTAGACATAGTGTGAGAGGTCCTCAGACCCCAACACAAATATCAGGTTTTAGTGAAATAAGTTTATAGCACAATCGGCCGTTTGCGGCCTAAGGGTCCTGAACCCTCAACTTGTGTTTATCAGCAATGTCCAAGTCCAATTCACTTGATGGAATATTTTTCCTGAAGATCAATATCTTCAGGTTTCATAATGTTTGGATAAAAATATTTGTTCTTTTTTGTTCCACAATATTCTCAAATTTATTTTCTCGTATGACGTAGCGTTTCCATGCGCTGCGTCGCACTTTTTGTGCCTCTCCTGTTCATGCGCTGCGGGCGACATCTAGTCAACCTGCGACACATAGTACGCATCCATTATTCAAAATCTCCTGAAATTGTTTCCATACTCTTCTGAGCTGAATGGGAAAATCTTGTGGTATGTTCGTGTGCAAACAAAGAATATTTCACAAATAAATTTTTGCCACATTCCAGTTTATTATTTTCAGGCGGTACATATTCGAAAAACTCGCGCTATGCTTTTTTTTTAACTCAAGAAAACTGAAAAAAAAAGCAATCGAAAAAGCATGAGGTTCTAGTATATACGTTTTCTGCTCAACATGCCGAATAAGGAAAGGGCACTTGGCGCTGCTCGAGTCGGAATGATTTTATAGCGTGTCTGTTTATGACAGATCAGTGCTGGAGGAGCAGACCTGCATCAGAAAGCTGGTGCAGCAGCAGCCGCTGAAAACCAGCAACAGGAGCTTTCGACCCCGCGCCGCAAACGCCGCTGCTGTTCATGCTGCTGTTGTCGAACATTCCTGAGCGTTGTGCAGTTTTCTGCTCTGGGACTTTTTGCTGCTTTTGGAGTGTTTGTGCTGGTTATTGCCAGTCGCGTGACTGCAAATGAGAATCCGTCCACACTAGCCAGGGTTGTAGCCGCAACCAAGGGCTGGATCGCCAAACAGCTCGGGGATTATTGCAAAATCGATGCCTGAGGCACAAACGGAGGGGTTTAAAAAAAAAAAGGCAAGCTGCTTTATTTTGAAAGCCAGGCGCGTGTTCTAAGCCGTATATTTAGTCGAGTTCGGATCACATCCTTTTCTCTGCGTGGGCATGGGATTCGCGATTAGGAGGATTCATTGCGAGGTGGAAAAAGGATGCCGAATTTTTTCAAAAAACTTTGCCGTTTATTTTTGTACCCAGATATTATGCTGCGTTCTGAATCCTTTCGATCAAAACGAAATTATTATCCACCCAAAATTGACATCAGTGTCTACCAGAACATGTCAAACAGTTTATACTCAATTAATTTAGCATTCTAAAGTTTGGCTTGAACAACGCTTTTCCATCATTCATGAATACTGTATACCAGTAAAATCCATAAATTTACTGTAAATTCTCATTAGAATAGGAAAAACATGATAAGTGAAAGAGGGAATTTATGATATCGTAATTAAAAATTTATTGATGACGACATGTATTCGTGGTTTTTCCTGTATATTCTTCAGTAGATTTTAGTTACAAACAATCTCTTGATGCTGCATTAATGCTTACAACGAATTTGTTTGGCCCTTTCCACTAACCACAATGTTATTTTAATTTAATTTTATTAAGTTTTCATTTATAACGAAGCTTTTTTCAGGTCCCGAACGTTTGGTTGTAATGAGATTCTACTCTAGTAATTTATTAAAATGAAAAAGCAGAGAGTGGACTGTTTTTCTTCATTGATTTCGTCACAACCGACTATTTAGATAGCTGGAAACGAAAATAGAGTGAATGTGTAAAGAATAAATTTTTGCAAACAATCAAGCCAATCAGTCGATGCAGCTGCATGTTTATTTCCGGTGAACTTTATTCATCTTTGTTTTCACACGCGAAAGAGCTGAGAAACGTAGAAACCCTCAAAAAACAAAATCAAAGATCCAAGCCCCACCTGGATTAGTTCTATATTTGTGAGGATATGGACACATATGAACTTGAAAGCTAAAAAAACAAACAAGGTCGTTTGGAAATTTCGATGAACATCACTCATGTACAAATATACTGTACACAAAAATGCTGCAAGGATGATGCATTTTTGATGGATGGATGCATGAAGTCTTAGTTTCCCAGTTATTGCATCATTTCTCCACGATGCACTCATCACACAACATTTTCCGAAGTCCCTCTTTTATTTCATGCGATGTTCACTGACTGCAATATTTGAGAAGCCATTTCCTCTTCATTCAGTTCAGCACAGTATTGTGGTACTGTTTTCTCAATAAGTCAAGTTCAATAAACTAAATAAGTACATGAAGATCCATTTCTATATCAAAATAATTTGGAATTTTCATTCACTTGCTTCATTCACTAGATAAAAGGGTGTACATGGGCGAAAAATGCTTTGAAATGCTCATCACCCAGCTTATATGACATGTTATTATTGAATTACAATGTATTTTTGGTTTTACGCAGTGAGATTCCAAGGTAATAACGTCTCAGGATGTGCAAATATTTCAGAATGTCTGGTTGTTCAACTTCTGATTTTTCCATAGAATTCAATAGAAACACTTTCAATCACTTGGAAGAATTTACAAGATCCTCCAAATCGCTGATGAAAATATATTTATTAAAAAGCCAAAAAATAACTGCACCGCCTCAGAAAAGTCCTATTCTGCCCTTTTTGCATGTAGAAGAAGTCTAGCACCCAAAAATAATCGCAAATATTGTTTTATTGGAGTGTAAAGAGTTTACGAACACAAAACCATAAAAAAGAGGCACAACATTAGTTTTTCTTTAAAAATGAATCAATAATTTGAAATTATATTTGTTTTGACTTTGTGTGCTTGGATATAACAAATTTTGTTTGAGGTATGTATCAAACTCTGGAAACCAAAACATTTATTCTTGTTGAATTTTTGGGAAAGTGTCCACATCTTGAGACAGTTGATATGTTGGTCCCACTTTTCTGAGTTTACATTTTCCATGAGTCATATTTGTTGGAAAAAACTGCGACAAAGCAACAATTTGGTGTCAGAGAAGTAAATCTTCTCCCTTAATCCTTTGAATATTTTCTGTTATAGCTTCTGCTGGAGCCTGTGAAACAAACCCAAGTTTGGTTCCCAAGCCCAGCAAGGACATTTCTGAATAAAAGCATCATCTTTCCTATCCCTTATCCTTCAACTCATCCTTTCCTGATCTGAAACTCTTTAAATTCAAAGCAATTGCAATCTAGTTGTGAACCTGAGCTGATCTCCAAGTAGAGAAGCTATTTGTGCTGATACTTGAGTCAGTGAATTCCATCATTACTGAATTGTTCATCTCTTAAAGAAATGACCCATCTAAAACTAGGATGCAAGTTGTCCCAGCCGCAGCCTGGCTGCTTGAAAGCATTTTCTTTCTGTTTCCATTTGTGAATTCCTGTAAGTCAAGTCTCAATTGGCAAACTCTGCCAATTTCAAGACAATTTAAAAAGCAATTCTTTGAAGCCACAGTCCAAAATCTTTCAATCACTCTTTGTGAGTTTAATTAGCACATTCCTTTTAATCACAATATTGTCTGGGTTTTGGCATCAACACGTCAGGGTTCTACTGTCTTTTATGCAGCTTTGCGCTAATTCCTTTGCCTTAAATCTAAATAAATCATGTCTATATCACAGTCCAACTAAAGATGAACATTGGAATCAAACTCACGGGATCACAGTTTAAACGGTGTTGAAATATGAATCCATGTTGACTCAAAAATCCCACGTTTTCTGCTCTACTTTCATTCGATCTAGGTCTGGTTTTGCTGATGCCTGGGTCACGCATCGACCCATCAGAAGCCGTTTTTTTTTTCTGCTTACAAGACTCGATCTATTATGTTGCCAAACGCGATTCGCTGCTCTGTTGTAGGGGAAAAGCGACTGCAACCTCGCTTTCCGGTTTTCTTGGGTATCTCTCAAAAACCCCGTTCTCCTCGTTCTTTTTTTTATGCAAGAGGTTTCAGAATTCTGTTCAAGTAAAGCAGCCTCTTATTTTCTACGGATCCAAGGCGATGCATCATCAGAAACTGCGATCAAATTATTGTGCATTTAAGACTGGAGGCAAAAACATATCCGCGTTTTAATTTTTTTTATTTTCATAGGAAATGGAAAATCCTGAAAATTTTTGATAAACTCGGTTTGAAAAAAAGTAAGATTGTTTTGTGATTTTTCATCTCACTTTTCAATCACATTGATGCTAGTGTTTTTGTTTTAGCAAATGTAAATGAATTGGTCATTTGATTTGCAGTACGTCAAAACGTAACTTCAGTTATGTTCATCTTCAGAATAACTGACGTTGTTCGCGCATCTGAAGTGGAATACACATCCAAATTGTCAGAGTAATTTTCTTTAAACGACTTCAGCTCATCAGCTGGAAATGGTAAATTCCTAATTCAGATTTTTTTTGAATGTTCAGGACACTGCTTGGATATTTTTGGAAGGTTTTTTTTGTCAGAGATATTTCTAACCATATGTTGTACACATGAAAGGAGTCACGAAATTGGGTGCACATCAACTAGCTTATTTTTTTTAAAGGTTTCCATACTTGCATAGGATGTCATGCAATGTCTCTTCATGAATGAAGATGAAACATTTTTCCTTGTATCATAAACACTCTATTTTGAAGCATGTTAATTTAAGGGATAACAAAACAAGAGTGAAGAAGTGTATCGGCTAAAAAACATCAGAATTTATTACAGTGTATGTAAACTAGGACATTTCTAAACAAAGAGGAAATTTCAAGATTTTTGCATCCAACATTTTTAAAAGCTGGATCCCTGTTTGTGAGCTGCCCCAGTGAGCACAAAGTTCTCCAAAAAATGTCAAAAAATCATCCAAATGAGTTCCAAGGACATTTTTGGAACTCATTTGGATGCTTTTTGGACATTTTTTGGAGAACTTGTCCGCATATCATACAAAATTTTTTGACAAGTTTTGGAGTAATTGTCTGCCAGACACTGGCGCCAGAAACAGAAAGACAAGTTCTCCAAACTTGTCTGCAAAAACCCATCTGCCAGAGCTGTTGGAACAAAAGGGCATAAATGAGACTAAGAGCACTGTGTAGTGGGCTATAGCTGTCTGAGGTAAGGGTTGGACTTTCATGCAGAAGCCCCTGAGTTTGAACCCCAGTTAGGTCAGCAATTCTTCAATGGGGATAACATCCCTGTAGGCAACAAGTAACTTGGAGTGAACTAGGATAGGTAAGAAATTCAGTAGAGAAGACCTGGAAATAGATAGGACAATTATGTTACATTACTAAGATATAGCTAAAATAAATATTTAGAATATATAATTAGAATATATTATTGGGATATATAATTAAGATATATTGGAGAGATGCTCAGTACAATCTTTTCATGGATATAGTAAACTGTGAAGGGTGAAGAAAGAAATCAAATCCTAAAAATAATGTGCCAAAATCCTGCGGGAAAATAATTTTGCCCAAATTCACCTACATTTTGTAAAGAAAAAATAAAAGTTCTAGAGGGAAGTGGTCCTGATTGAATCACATCTAAAAAAGATGCCCCAGATCCCTCCAATGTTTGTCCACTTTGGATTGTTATCTTAACTTGCTTGATAAAATATATTCTCTTTGGTCGCGTCAATAAATAAATACAATGTTTCAAAATATGACTGCACAATATATTTCTATTACTTTGGTACACAGAATCACACTCGTATTTTTCATACAACAGTCATGCAAGCAGAGTCAAGACAATATAAAGAAGTCTTGCTAAAGTATTGCAAGTCTTCCTGAGAATAATCGCGAGAGTCAGGTTCGATTCTCTAGTGGGATTCTTCTGGGGATTTCGGGAAATGACTCGAGTTTATATAGCTTCTAGACTATTGGGTTCATGACATCTTTCTTGGATTCAGTAGTGCATATCCAGGTTTCGGAACCAGGATGTGTAGCTCAGAAACTAGCTCAGGAATTATTATTCGGAATAGTAGAAGCCGAAATTCGGTGAAGCATCAATTACCGTAAATAACTGT